AGTTTTATTTGCATAGAGCAAAGGATATTATAGAAAAATCATAAAGACTATGCTCTAAAGTTATGCCGAGGATCAAAGGTATATTATACATACTTTAGTTAGAGTTTCATGCTAATAACATATTATAAAACTAAAGGTAGAATAGAGAATAAGAGAAGAGAATAAGAAAAGAAGATAGGAATATTTCTCATTTCATTCAAGATACTAAATACATTATACATGGCCTCTATTTATAGGCACAAATGTATATCTTTGATAGAATCTATAGATTACACAATAATAAAAGATAATTGTCAGATATAGAGATAATGGGAGATATCGGAGATGATAGAAAATACATGGACATCCACAAAAATATTCAAAACAGTATTTTGTTATTATTAAAATTAGATTATTATTGTGGAATTTCTTTTATATTTTCTACTATTAGTGATAACTAATGTTGTTATATTTTCTTATTATCAATTAAATAGCATTATTTTAATATAATCAGTTTGATGTCAGTTTGACTCCGATCTGACCTACTGATCCTTAAACGGCTACCTTTATCAATTCAATGTCCAATCAAGTTTTTTGTTCTTTGCTTGAAGGAGCAAAAAATTAATTTTTCCTTAATCTTAATAAGCCCAAAATCCAATTCATCTAAACTCTCTCTTGAAAAAAATATCCATAGAGATCCAACTCTATTTTTCCCCTTCTTTTGAATCAAGCATCCCTAGCTGTGGTAGATGTCCCAAAGGCGTTTTTTGCATGCACTCAAACTCGAACCCGAACTTGAAACTTTGTGCTTAGAACAACCAAAGAGATAGAGAGAGATTTAAAAATGATCTTTATGAAATCCTTAGAACTTCAACTGCAATTAAACGATCCCTATTGGGATCTTCCAAGTAATTTAACACCTCTTGCTTCATTTCCATTCCGAAGTTCTTTTTTTTTTTTTTTTGTGTAGGAACTTGCAGAAGTAGTCAAGCTAACAGATTAATAAACAAGTATAGAACCTTTCATCAAATCCTTGGAACTAGCTTAAACAGATTAATATATACTTTTTTGGTTGTGATGATTATATAAGACTTTGCTGTAATATTTTGTTGTCTAACCAAGTTGTTATATATAAGGAACCCTAGCTAACTGAATTATCTTCTCACACGTGTGTGCGCGTAACTAATTAGAATTGAGGAGATTATTTGAAAAGTAATTGACGTGAAATGGTTTGTTTGGATGGTGGGATATGGTATGACAGATAAGAAGAGGCAAGTGGGAGCGTGGGAACAAGGAATGATGTTATGAGAGTTATTAATATCGTTATAGGACTTGTTAACTAGATTATTGAAGTTGTAAAATGCTACTTTTTGAACTTTCTAAAAAAACATGTTGCTAAATGTTAGCGTTACAGAACTTGTCAACTACGTTACTGAAGTTGTAAGAATGACACATTTTAAATTTTCTGAAAAACTTGTTATTAACTGCTATATCGAACTTGTTAATAACATTAAAGAACTTATTAATCGAATTATTGAACTTGAAAAAATCCCTCAAAAAATAATTGCCGAAGGTTGGACCTTCAGCAACCTGTCATTAGAGCTCTAGTGATCGGTAGCCTACTTGAATTCCAATCGCAGCCACTGACACGGAGCTCTAGCTACCAGCCGGGTGGTGAGGGTGTTTGGTGTTTTTTTAAAATAAAGGGCTATATGGTCATTTCAGCATATTTGCAAATCCCAATTTAGCCAGTTATCTCTAAATTGAAATCTTGCTTACTTAGGTGACCATTTGGGAATTTTATTATTTAACTATCATTTTCCTATCTTTTTCCGAATCTCAAACACCTACAATTCACCACTATAAATATATTAATTATATTATTATTTTAGAAAAAGAAAAAAAAACTCATTTAGCAAACTACAATAGAGTTTAAATGGTTAACCATGATAGAAAATATATTAAAAATATAAGAAAAGGAGCTATCATGGTTAGTTAAAGGAGTGAACTCCTATACAATTTACAAAATTATTCTTGAACACAAATAATAAAGATAACCATAATACAAGAATAGAACATGTGACAAACGCTATCATGATTATAAAAACTTCCATCACACTAAATTAGGTACAATTATGTTAGATTTAATATTTTAGTGATGACAAAGTAAATAGTTAAACTTATCTGCATATCTTTACTGATGAGTGTTTATCAATAACTTGCTGGATAAATAGGTTTATCGATCACTTGTTCGATCATCGGTTGGATTATTAAATGTTGGATCATCTGTTAGATCATTAAATGTTGGATCAGAAGTTGGATCATTGGGTTGATCGAATATGTGTTTGATAAATCATTGTGTATTATGAGTTCAAATTCTATTAAATGTTTATCGATAACATGTTAGATCATCACTGTGCTAAATAATATGTTAGATAAATATGTTGTTCGATCATTGGTGAAACTAGTTCAATATGAGTACTTTCAAGAAATTATCGATCACCTCATAGACAATTCAAAAGATCGATAAGCTATCAGGTAAAGAGGTAATCTTCCTCACTGTTAACAAAGGGTTAACTGATCACCTTATCGATTAAAAGCTATTTGATCACATGACAAATAACTGGTAAGTCCCTTCAAGTCACATACTGTTTGAAATGCTCTATGGGTTATTAGTCACCTTATCAATCATCTGCTTGTCGATAGCTTGTTCTAAAATTGTTTAACAAAACTTCCTTTGTTATTCGATCAGCTATTCGATCAAGTCTCTTTTTAGAAATCAAGTTTTTATTGACAATGATCGATCACTTAATCGATGATTTAATTATCGATCACTTAATCGATCAACATCATGGCTTTATGTAATATCAGTCTAAGGCGTTTTAGAACTGCTTTTCGATAAATTGTTCTATCAAAGTTTTATCAATAACTTTTCAGATTAATAAGTTCAAAGTATTTTTACATAGTTACTTATATTATCGATAATCTATTTGATTAAGTGTTTATCGAACATTTGTTTTATAATTTACAAACACATTTCTTTAAATTGTTCTTCATGATGATCTTTCAGAAAATATATTTTTATCTTATCTTTAAGCTTTCTCAGCCTTCATTATTTATCTTATTTTCTTATAAAACGCAACGAAGGCATCTAATGTTGAAAGAACAAACCTTGCACTAAATTCAAAAGTACTTTCTTAACTAAAATCACTTTGTCTATATTTTATCATTTATCGATCACATGTTCCACAAATGAATAATCCATAATGACTTTGATGAATGTTCTCTTCTTTTAGGTCCGATTCCCTTGTTATTAATCGATAACCTTATCGATCAAGAGATTATCAATCAAGACTTAGATCAAATTGATTTTTTTTTTTTTTTACTTTCTGATTATCTGATATTTGATTCTATGATTTTCATTTATTGCATTAAATCCAAGAATCATCATTTCTCCTGTTATTCATTCATATTAACTTGAGAAGAAAACTTATATTTTTGCCAAGACACTTCTGCAGATTACGAAGCACAATGGATATATTATAGGCTTAACCTACTGTGTCAGAAGCATTTATTATGAACAACCATTATAACTGCCGAACACATGCAATTGATATTCCAATGGCTACAAGCTCTTGTGTTTAACGGAAAACTGAGAGTCTCTAACAATAATGGCGCAAAGAGCATTGAATGAAGTAGTGAATGAACCGAGCTAGCTTCTGTGAAAATTAATCCTCACATTCATCACTCTATTTTTACGTTCTGAGCTTCAATGTTTATCATATATACTCTATGAGGGAGTTTGTAATTTCTTTTACTCAAATCTGTGAGTGACTCAAGAGTATGAACCCTTGAGAGGATTGTAACCTTATGGGTAGTAAAGGGGATCAATGATTGAGAGCAAGCTCAATTGTTGTATTGAGGTACCAAGAGCCCGTTGAATTTTAGGGTTTAGTGAAAAACTCATAGGCACTCTGAGGACTGGACGTAGGTCAAGTGGTTGAGACTGAACCAGTATAATCTCCTGTCTCATTGCTAATCTATTCATCCTCGATGAAATCCTTCCAAATCTGTCTTCATTGCTTTATTTAGTTATTTATTTTGTAAAGTCAATTTTTATATATCACCCAATTCACCCCCTCTTGGGTGAAACTACCACTAACAAATTAAACAATTCCAAACACAATAATCACATACTCTTCCGGTCCTTAATATAGGACCTAATTGTTGAGTTGATTTTGATCATAAATATAAAACATATTCTTTATATTTATCAATTTTTCCTAAATTACCCCTATAGATACTTGATCAACCATAATCAAGTAAAAGATTGAGGGAAGATATTAAGAAAGATGATTATGGTGTTTTAGGAAAAACATGTCATGTTTCTTATAATTAACTAACTCACCTAACTTTATTAATCTAATCAAATTAGTTAAATAGGTATTATATTAAGGACCGGAGAAGTACAATGATAGATTACCTATTACGGAGTCAAAGAAGGCCATGTCACCAGCTTATCAAGGGCCTGCTTGATATGAAGACTCGATTGGAAAGGAAAAGAATAGAAACAATTGAGTTAGAAATACTGGTTGGCTCATAGGTTACGAGTTGGCTCACCATAACTTGCGAACCAAGCGATGCTAGCAGGTTGGTGAGCCTATACACCTGCATTTTTAATGCCAACATAAAAATTCTGATTAGATCTAACAAACTTATTATTAGTAATTGAGTAAATTTATCCTCTTGCACTTGACATCTAAAAAAAATTATTATTATTAATGGAGTAAATTATGTTGTTTAACCAAAAGAAAAGGTCCTGTGTTGTTTCTTTTTGCGATCAATTGGATGGTTGTGTTTTGTAAAGCGTGTTAAGATAAAAGCAGCAAAACAAGGCATTTTATTTGCATATATAATTGAAAAAAAAAAAAAAAAGGGGCTAGGCCCGCTGCAAGTTGGAGGATTGGATGGCCCGTACCACGGCTCAACTTTGGAATTTCCCAAGCTGGATAGAACGAAGGAGGACTGGGCCGCGTGGCGGGGACCATGGTTTTGAGTGCAGCACGGGTAGCCGTCGACCGCGAGAGTGAGGGGGAAGAGGGAATTGGCGCCGGAGGTGCCACCGGTGACAGAGGGCGAAATTTTTCCCTTCAAGGTCCGGGTCTGTTTTTTCATTCAACCTTTCACTGATGCCATTCTTCTGTTTTGCTATAGCATTTTTATGGAGTAAAGATGTTCATTTGAGTAGACAGTGTGTTGATGTTTAGCTGTGCAAGTCTGTTATATGCTTCTTCGTGGCAAATAACTTTTCAATCTGCGCAAATATTTTAGTTTTCAACCAATGCAAATTAATTTCCTTCAACTTCATCTGGGCAAATCGGTGCAAATGCCTCTTTATCAGTCTGCTCTGCTTTTTCATGTGTAGTTAAGTGAATTTACCCCCCTCTCCACTTTTGGACACATTTCTCCCGCCTCCCCCGGCAGGAAACACCTCTCCTCCGTTCGAAGGAAGTGTTCTTTCCTATCTGCTGCACTGTTCTTTCCCTTTCTGGAACCAAACTGCGAGCAGATGGAGATAAAGAGACTTGTTTCCATTCCCCGTTCTAAAATTTTACTCAAACAAATGTGTCCTAATATGCCTTCTAAATACTACTACTTTGTTGGTTTTTTTTCCAATTCTTGAAATTTGATGCGAAATTCTGTGTTTTATGAACGTTAATGGGTGCTGAAGTATTGGATGCAGAGTGGGTTGATTTTTGCGTTGGTATGGGCTGAGCTTCATGTTGAAGTTGTAGTTGGTAAAGTGGCTTTCCAAAATATTTTATTACCAGGCTAGCCATGGACACGTCTGACGAATCCATGTTGACATGAGATTTTGTAAAGTTGTGTTGAAATAAGCATGGCTGATAGATAGCTGAGCTCCTTATAGATTTTATGTTTCATATTCCAGTATTAATTTCGCATGAACTTCACTTACAGATATGTGATGCAAACGTCCTAAAACACATGCGTAAACAGCTGTCAGCCCATCTCCTTCACTGCTGATTTGTCTTGATGTATATGTTTGGGCCGGAGGAATGGTGTTTCTGCAAGTTTGGCTGATTTTCACTGAAATATGCCATGAAAATTAGCTGGTGTTCGTGTGCAAGCTTTGATTGATTTTGCTTTGCCAATTTGACTGGTTTATAGCTATGAACTTCCCAAAGGCATAGCCTAAGAGAATGATGCAACTGGGAATGAAAACAAGCATGGCAATTCATACCACAGTCATGGGGTTTTGCACAATCACTTGCTCGCGTTTACTATATTACACCAAGCTCATATCCTCTCACGTCAACCAAGCTCGGCATGACCAAGCCCTTGCTATTTTCCACCACATCCAGTCCTCCCTGGCAATGCCCCTTGATCCCCATGTCTTTTCTCTCATCCTCAAGTCCTGCACTGCCATTAACTGTCCCCAACTTGGCACTGCAATTCATGCTCACGTCACCAAAGTTTCTTTCATATCTAATCCTTTCATTGCAAGCACTCTAATTGACTTATATGGCAAGTGTGTCTCACTCTCTATAGCACGCCAACTGTTTGATGAAATTCCCAAAAGAAATGGTGTTGTTTGGAATACGATGATATCCCTTTATACACATTCTCATGATGTAGCTAGTGCTTTACAGCTGTTTGATGTCATGGATATTATGCCCAGTGAATCTACTTTTAATTCAATTATAGCTGGCTTGGCAAGGTTAGATGGCCGGTCGTTTGAGGCTATAGCATTCTACCAACGAATGCACCAACTAGGATTGAGACCTCAATTAATAACACTTCTTTCTCTACTGCCGGCTTCTGTAGGTGTAACAGCTCTGAATTTGATTAGAGAGATTCATGGTTATGCAATAAGGAATGACATTGACTCACATCCTCAATTGAGCAGTGGTCTCGTGGAGGCATATGGGCGATGTGGTTGCCTCTTTAATGCACATTCTATATTTTGGAGTATGAAGGAAAAAGATGTAGTTGCTTGGAGCAACATCATATCAGCATATGCACTTCATGGGGACGCAAAATCTGCGCTAGAAATTTTCCATAAAATGGAACTGGCACAAGTGCGGCCAGATGGTATCACATTTCTTGTTGTATTAAAAGCTTGTAGCCATGCAGGGTTAGCTGATGAAGCATCCTATTATTTTAAGAGAATGTGTGAATATTATGGCATTGAAGCAAATAGTGATCACTACTCTTGTTTAATTGATGTTTTGAGTAGAGCTGGAAGGTTATATCAAGCGTATGAGGTTATACAAGAGATGCCAATAAAGGTGACTGCGAAAGCATGGGGTGCTCTTCTTGGGGCTTGTCGAACTTATGGAGAGGTTGAGTTGGCAGAGATAGCAGGAAGAGCTTTATCAGAGGTTGAGCCAGATAATGCTGCCAATTATGTTTTATTGGCAAAAATTTATGCTAGTGTGGGGAGACATGAGGAAGCTGAGAGAATGAGAATGAAAATGAATGAGCGAGGAGTAAAGGCAGCAATTGGCAGCAGTTGGGTTGTAGATTCAGAGTGATGACATTCTATCTATATTATTCCTATTGGCCACCCTATTTTTGTTACATTGTTGATATCAGAGCCATGGTCAATGTTTTGATTCCAGAAAGACACTTTGCAGAAGGCATGTGTTGGGAGGGATAGGGATATTGTTTGTAGGCCAACATTCTACCTTGGCAAGGCGTGGTGAGTGGTTTGAATTAGATCAAATGGGATTACATCCTAACTATCATCTGTAACTTTTAGTTCAGTGAATAACTTAAACAATTTCCTCATATAATCTTTTGTAGGGAATAGATGAACATGGTGATGAATATTTTAGATATTGGAAGGGTGGAAAGTGAAGACAGATATTGCATTGAAAGATTCATGAATGTATGTTAATTTGATAAGCTAAAACCTTCCATAGATATTAAGAACCTTAGCCATCAGACCCTGTATTCTGAAAGGTTATTGAAAGCCAGATGCCCTGAGAATTGAAGTTTAGCTTTTGACTTAAAAATATAAGGTACGGTGTAAATTAAACTTAGGCTGTGCGGATACTTAAAATGCATTAAAAGAAATTTGTATTTAATACAATGCATGTACTTGACTTCATGATAAATGTAGCATATTCAAATATCATCAGTTTTTTCACCAATTATTTAAAATGCACCAAAATAGCTTTACAGCTTATAGAGAATCTTAATGAGATAAATAAAGATGAAGATTGACATCTAGTTTGAATTGATATATTTTCTTAAGTCAATTAATTTTTATTACTCATTTTTCATGTGTTAATTTATTGAATATACGGATATACATATTATAAACTTCCGTGGCTGTTTTTTTTTTTTTTTTTAAGTTTAAAAGTTATTGTATATGATGTATCATACTGTATTCGATACATAAACACCTTGCAACATAGGTATAAGTATGCAGCATCACTTTTCTGCCAATGTGCTGATGCTTCATTCGTGTAATTAGATTGTTGTTCGTGTAATTTATTTGATTGTGGTAGCGAGTTTATTTTATTGGGGTTTGGCTTTTTATGAACGCTTCGTTTGATGGAGATAATTGTTTTAATTGTTTTCTTTTTCTGACTGTCACGGATAATTGCAACATGCTTGAATCATGGAGCATGAAAATTAATCAATAAAGCAATAGCAATGGCGATATACAAAAAGCTTAGCAGATCTCTGCCATATGCTACGAAAGATCAGAAAGCATAAATGGTACTTCTAGAATCTCTAAGTTCAGACTAAAATTAGAGTCTAAGCATAATTTATTCGGACACTATGATTGGTGATAATTTACCACAACACCAAATAGAACTAGACTAATCTCTGTTTGCTAAACCAGCAATGCTATCAATCCCTTATCCATCTTGGGTATTTTAGAAATACATCATAACATAATCATTCATTTATTGAGCAGGATACCTAGTAACATAGCAAATTTGACCATAGGTCCTGATTTTCTAACTTTGAGAACAAAACAGACAGCCACATCACCTGCATATTGACTGAGGCTAATGATCTATGATGGAACCCCACCAATATATGTATATATATATGATTTCTTGTACTGCCGATTCCAAGTTTCTTCCCCACTACCAGTTACTGAAAGGATCCAAGCACAATTGTCCAGTGATTGAAAAATGGAAACCTTAGAATTGTGAATGGTGTTCACAAACTACTCGGATGTATTACCGTCTGACAAGAAATCAATTGAACTAATGGATGAAAATGAGCAACCCAAAAAAAGAAACAAGAAGAAGGGGGAGGGAGTAAAATCTAAAAGTCAATTTCCATATAACAGGTTAACTACATGCTCAATGTTTGTTGTGGCAGTAATGTTTCCTCTAGTTTATGTTATATGTTAAATATCATTTATTTCTGTTTAATTGTAGGATTTTTATTGTGGAGCTTTTGCATTGCAAGTGGAAATTAGTATCCCAAGACATATGTGTTGAAGATCTAGTATGTTGTACTTATAAGTTTATGTATGAGATGTAGAACAATGCAATGCCTCATGAGGAATTGTAACTTATATTGGACTACATCTTTTGCATGTGGTTATAATAATTGGCTGGTAGGGACCTGAACTCGATAATAAATATGGGTTGGAACAAAAGGTACTGAAGGGAAATTCTGATAGAAAGGATTGTAAGTATCTCACAAAATACTCTCTAAAAGACCAAGGAGAATCTCCACTATGAATATACTCTCTCAAAAAATGACGTTGGTGGACCTCTAACAACCTAAAGTCCCCTTATTCAACTAATAAATCATTAATAAAATCAATAAAACCTAAAAGACTCATTCAACTCTCCTAAAAAGATGCAAACAGACTCAACCACTACTCCAGTCTCCCTATTTCTTCTCTAGTGCGTTAATGTGCTGACTTGGAGTCCTATCAATACTCCCTCCCTGAAGACACGACTTGCCCTCAAGTCATAATTGATGAACTTGCACAGCCACTTGAATTGTTCCCTTATCCATTGGATTTGCCTTTGACTGATGGTTCCCATTCATTTGAATTTCTAATAAGAGCAGACTTTGAAATTGGGCAGCGGTGTGGGTCCCTGAAATAACTCCCTGAAGCTTGTACTTTTTGCCATTTATCCAGAAAATCATGAACATCTCGTTCCAATTGGTTTGGGTGGTATTCAATGAAGCCAACCATTTAATGCCCAGAACAAGATCAATTCCACTTAAAGTGAAGGGGAAATAGTCTTGTTTAATAACTAAATCAGAAATTTTTACCTCCAAATCTGTGCAAATACGGTTGCATTTTACCACTCTACCATCTCCTGTTTGGACTCCAAATGAAGACGTCACACTAGTAGGAAGACACAAATCAGAAACTAATGCTTCTGATATAAAATTGTGAGTAGACCCACTATCTACTAAAATCAGAATCTCTCGGCCCATTATAGAACCTTTGAGCTTCATGGTTCTAGCATTTGCCTTCCCTACCATGGCTTTAAACATAACCTCAACTTCCCCTCCATCTCCCATATTGTTGACATCTTCTTTTGAGGGTAGGACAATTTCTTCTCCTTCTTCAATGAGTTCTAGGAGAGAAAAAGAGGAGTTGCAGCAGTTCCCCGATTTGAAAACTTCACCACAACGATAACAAAGACCTTTCTCCCTACGACGCTGGCGTTCAGATTCCAAGGTAGAGGAACTGGATGATTTTGCTAATGGGTGTTGAGACAAATATGTGTTTGGGCTTGGCGGTGGAAGGAGCTTTGGAATTGCAGATGAAGATCGTTGTGCCATTCTTGTGTCTTGTGCTGGCTGGGTATAGGGGAAAAAAGTGCGAGTTACTCCTGAGGCTATGTTGGGCTTAGGCCCATTAGCATTTTGCAGCTTAGTTTCATACTCTAACGCTAAACTAGTTGCTCGATAGACAGTTCTAGGCTTATGGATACGTACATCCGCCTTCAACTCCTCCTTGAGCCCATTGATGAAGACACCTAACAAGCAATGCTCTGGCCAATTCTTGACACGTGAGGACCTGCGAGCAAAGTCAGAACGATACTTTGACACCGTCCCTATTTGTCGAATGCTACAAAGGTACTCATCTGGGTTCTGGTATTTTGGTGGTCCGTAGTTTTCTTGAAGATCACAAGCTCATCCCAATACACTGTCGCGCGTTCATTGTTAACCCAAGAGAGTAGATCAAGTGCGTCTCCCTCCAAGTACATTGATGCCACATCCCCTTTCAAATCTTCTGGGGTGTCATAGTACCTAAAATATTTCTCTGCCTTCGATATCCAGCCTCGTGGATCCCCACTGCTAAACTTGGGGAATTCAATTTTTGTGTAAGGCATTCGGCGCCTATAAGATGCTTCAGGGTTGTCCTCACTATCAGCTTCCCAATGAGAACAATGGTTTCCGCTTCGACTTCTTTCAGATGCAGCCTCCAAATTGGCTACTCTGTTAGCTAATGCTTCAATATTTTCTAGTCGCGCAGCAATTATGGTCAAAGGATCACTATCTCCTGCTAAAGGATTTTCAGGTGGGTTGGGAATGCAGGATGATCTAGTCTCAACCATGGCTTTGATGCCAATTTAGTAGGGACCTGAACTCGATAATAAATATGGGTTGGAACAAAAGGTACTGAACGGAAATTCTGATAGAAAGGATTGTAAGTATCTCACAAAACACTCTCTAAAAGACCAAGGGGAATCTCCACTATGAATATACTCTCTGAAAAATGACATTGGTGGACCTCTAACAACCTAAAGTTCCCTTATTCAACTAATAAATCATTAATAAAATCAATAAAACCTAAAAGACTCATTCAACTCTCCTAAAAAGATGCAAACAAACTCAACCACTACTCCAGTCTACCTATTTCTTCTCTAGTGCGTTAATGTGCTGACTTGGAGTCCTATCATTGGCTTGATAACTACCAAAGTAAAGGTTGGAAGCAATCAGAGTTAGTGTGATATTCTGAGAAATAGCTAAAATGGGTTCACTTTGTTGTGTGGCTTCAAGCCACATGGATCAAATGCAGCTAGTGGGGAGTGGTCACTAGGTCAACATGAGCCCTACTGGCAAACTAATACAAGCGTTTCACCCCCTCCATCAAGATGGGACTTCATATTCCAACCCGAAGGGCTGCCATATAGTTTGCCTGATGTAATTCAACTCTACAGGTCTTCTACATCAATGAACAGGAAAGATGGTAGGGGCCGGGTGAGAGGGAACTACTTGTTTGATCTTCACTATTCTGCTTCAGATGGTACTGGACTTTTGTTCAGCAGCCCGTCTGACATCTATCAAGGTACCCAGTGGACACCTCCAGCGATACAGGAAATAAGTACTGATGACTATCAAAATGCAACCAGGAAAGGTGATTTTGATTTCAGAATAGCCAAATTAATTTGAGGAGCCTTTTGGCTTTTAAGTTTTGAACCTGAGGTATGAATTTAAATATTGTATGACAAACGTAAGTACTCTAAACACTTTCAATGGCTTCTAGCTTGCCTTTCTATTAGTATTATAGAAGCTGATGCATGCTGTTTTTCCTGCTTGTGGATAGGATTGCATATGAATATATTAGAAACATTAAGTGTAACATAACATATGATGCCTTTTTACACGAGTTGCCCCCGAATTAGGACTTGAATGGATGCCCTGATGACATAGTTAAACTCAAAATAAGTCTAATGGTGTCTGAAGCTCATATCCTCAACCAGATTATCAAAGATAAGGAAAAGTAGAAAACAGAGGAAATGGTTTGGGAAGTTAATAAACATGAAGAAATTTTCTCTTCACCTATTTGCAGTAATCGCATTGTCCTTCCTTCTTTTTTTTTCCCCCCTGATATATTATTGTCCTTGATCATAACGTGTCTGCTGGAGTTCTTGTTTGTCTGTGGTTCCTTTTTTGGAGTGAGTGTGTGAGAGATGGACTTTGAGACATTCAAGCTGCAAATCTGTTAGAGGCCAAAGCACAATAGTAGAAGACTAACACTGATTTATATTATAAGTCGAAGCCCAAAACAACCCTTTCCTAGGTCAGGCCTATAGCCACCCTAAAGCAACTCTAGTGCTTAGTTTCTTTCTTGAAAAGATGAGGAAACTTGCGGTCAATGCCCTGTTCAACATAAAGTAATTTCCCTCTTTCATGTATTTTGCTAGGTCTGACAAATCAAAGCAATTCTATCAAAATCTCAATTCTGTTTTAATATTTGAACATGTCGAATTGTTTTTCCCAAAACTGTCTTGCCAGTGAATTCATATGGAGATGGATGGAGGCATTGGTAAATGTCTGATATATTGATAAGTTCAGTTTTGCATGGGAGGGAAGGGGGAATTTCACCATTAACTGGTGATGAAAATCAAAACTCCTTATCTAAATTGCAAGCCTTTGCTAACCTTGTGTCTGTAGTAGTTTTTTTCTAGTAAAGAATCTATTCATGTTTGATATTATTCTGTATATTATGCCTTGTCAATTTTGTGCTTTGCAAGCTGAAAAATGAGATGAGTTTTAAATAGACAAAACTTAGGTCAAGTTGCTTATATCCATTAGGTCAAGTTCTCCAATCACATTTGTTAATTTTTCTATTATTAGTTATTAATATACATATGTACATTTGTAAATTCATCTATAAACACTTGTGGTCTTTTTGTATCAGTTTTTATAAAGTAAATTAGGATTTGTAAATTTTCATCGGGGCACTTGTTATTTTGTTATTGTTAGTTATTAAAAAGTGCATGTGCACTTTTAAATTCACTTAGCAATATGGACACTTGTTATTTTTCTATTATTAATTGTTGAAATGCGTATGTTCACTTATAAATTCACCCATGAAGTTGACTTAATAAATATAAGCAACTTGACCTAAATTTTTTTCTTTTTCAATTGTGCCTTCAATGTAAGTGACATCAGTAAAAACTGGAGGCATCTTTTGTCATTTCTCTTGGTAGCTTTGGGGCCTCTTGGGCGAAGCAGTTTTGCAGTGTTTGCATGCATGACCTTTCGTATCAAAGAAATGGGAAGCATGAATGCGTAGTTTTGTCCACCAAGTTTGAAATATATCCTCCTAGGCTTTTCCAATTCAATAGTTGATGTAAATGGTTATTCTGAATTATCTTAAAGGATAGTTAGCATGTATGTATAACTGACATGTTGATTCTGTAATCCATTTTTGTTATATTTGGACATGGCTATTTGTGGATGATAATTGGTGACCTCGAAACCTAAAGGGGTTTTCTGTCTGCCTGTAGATTGGGATTTTACATGCTGCAAGCAATGTTCCATCTTATATCATAGAGGGTGCAGTACACTCTTGCAATTTCCACTTTTCCAGTGTTTTATTTATTGCTGCTGCTTTTGTTTGTTACTCATGCATGCTAGACGGCATTGTTCTCTTACCAAGTCCTTCTGGAGACCAGATATCTCCATCAAACAACGGCTGTTTAATATTTACAAGGAATTAAAAAGTATATGTTCCCTTGGAAATTAGTTGATGGTTGGGTCCCTCAAGAAATAGACTAACTGAAATGGAACATACGCAGGGAACCTTGGAAAATACAAAATAGTAGAGGCTTTATTTCATCCTGGTCTGAGAGTAACAAGTCTGAGCCCACTGCAAAGTCACATTCCTCTCGGGGGAATTTCTCTAATCGCTGTTGTTTCATCTCCAAACCTGTTCATCCTCCGTCCTTTTTGACCTTGCTCTGCTAGGGAGGCCTTAGGACCTGCAGTCACAGGCATTACAGAGTTTGATGGTTCCATTCTGATCACAGGTGCTCATCGTTGCAGTAGTACTAGCAGCAGTCTTGATTATGTTCCCACTTATTAGTTACTTATTTAAGCACGATTGTGTAATCTCTCTTATGTTTGGAGCAGCTTTTTGTCTCTCTGGCTTTTAATCAAAAGCTGCTTAATTTTGTGCGTTTGTGAGAAGCAAACTCCGCCTACTTTTTGCTTCTTCTTTGTTTTTTTTTTTTTTTGCTAAAGCATATTGGAGGCAATCCTATTCAAGATACTATCAGGCACTAAATGTGGACAATTCTCCAAACGGGGATTCGAACTTTGGTTCACCAAGTTGTGAGAGACTAGCCCCTTTCGCTAGACCTAACACCTATTGGTACCTATTTTTTGCTTTTGAATGGTACAATTGTGTTCTCTGCATATGGATTTCACTTCTTTCTTTTCTTTCATCTCTCTCTGCTCGTCCCTTGCCTGCTACGTCTGAAACTATCTATAACTAATTTAATGTAGTTTTCTCTTATGATTTTTTTTTTAAAAAAATTATTTTTCATTTTATATTTAGATAAATTATTTTTTATAATGCTTCTAATTTTTTTAATTCTATTTTATTCATTAAATTTAACTTCTTCACATTAAAATAATTTTAAATTATTATATTATGTAAATTGATAATTTTTGTTAGTTTTCATTATTTAATAAAAATTATACTTATTTTGGTAATTTTACAGTCTAAACTTACTTGTTCAATCATAATCTAAACAACTATTTTTACAAAATGAATTATTTATAAAAGTCAATTTAAACATAAATCATATTATCTAATTGAATTTGTACTCAAGTCAGATTGAAAATGAGCTTCTTTTTTTTACCGTAAATCTAACAGGCTCTCTGAGTATGAAATATCTGGCTGTATTCCTTCAGATGGAGGCAAATGCAGCTTGTGTGAACAATTTCCATATCGTAGGGATCACCTTGGAGTGCGTTGAATTGTCAAAAGTGTTGACATGCCTACAACAGGGGTTCTTCCTTGTCATGTATTTCGTGCTGGATGCCTGGAACAGGCAACGCCTAATGGACAAATGATCCTTCCTGCCCTATCTGTGGCCAATCGGAGGAGGAAAATCTCCTCGATCAAAGGGGTAATTGAGAACAAAGAACAATATTCCAAGACTTGGCTCATTTTTTGAGGATAGAGCCTCGAGACATTGGGGCTGTGTCCAGGTGTGCGATGGTGTTGATAGGGCTCTGCTCAAACCACCATGTAATGCTATGTTGTTACTCGTTAGGAATGGCGTAAGAAAGAACCTTGCTTTGAAATGTATTTTGAGCAAAGAATTTCAAGGTAAATTGAGTTAAAGTGGACCTTATTCTTATCAGCTCTTTATTAAAAGCTCAGCTGATGAGAAAGCAGTTTGCTGAAAGGCTATGGCAGGCCCAAGTATGAAGAAGTAATTAGATCGTGTCAAGAAAATTGGAAGCTTGGTAATTCATAACCTGGTCATGGTCTTTTGTGTGTGTGTGTATGTGTGTCTATATATATATATATATATATATATATATTTATATATATATATCAATTGGTCGTATGTTGATTGCCATGGGAACTGAATGTTCGGCTTCTTCGTGCATTTTTCTCATCTGCTTGGGTTGATCTTTTTCTTTGTTTTGGTTGAATTATGGGTCCATTTGGTGCAAAAATAGATATCCGAAAAGAAATATAGAAAGCCCCCTAAATAGGCGTCAACCCAACGTCAAGATTCACTTCGGTTCATGGAGGTCCTAGTTCTCTCGCTCACGGCCCAAAGCCCAAAAGTTGAGTCGAAGGCTTTATTTATTAAGTGTCTTGTTTTATTTCTGTTGTGTGATTTCTTGTAACCGCTCCATCATGGTCTTCCTCTGCAATTCAAACATCTTCACTCATTACTTTGATTCATTACTCTCTCATCTGGTCCATTCAGAAGTAATTACAAATCAAGATCAGAAATTCGTGGTGAAAAAAGCAGGATCATATTTTATTTATGCCTTAACCTCCTGAACCAGCATTAGCATTAGGCTGATAAGAAAGACAAGGTTATGACTGCACCACGAAGAAAAGACAAGAATAACGAGAAGCATCCTATGCTCATATTCAAATTACTCATCCCGATTACCTTACCTGAGGTTGAAGAAGGCACGCCAATGAGCTCAGATATCTCAATGTGGGGCCTATCAAGATGAAGTTTTGTTACTGATATGATTCTCAAATGAGAGAGAAATTTTGAAGAGAAAATAAAGTAAAGAATCCCATGATTTTTAGTTTTTTACGATACAAAGAAACTTGAACCAAGCTACAGGTCTATTTCTCTGCTGTGTAATGGTGGGTCCTCTGATTGCGACACTCCATGTTATGTGTTGCATATAAGGGTACATTCCTGGACCAACTTGTGTACCATAGTCATAGTGCCTTATGCTCTTCAATTTAATAGGGCCCAAACCCAATGGCCTCGTTTCTCAAAAGGCCATTCAAAATTTCAACTGAGGGAGATTGATGGGGCATAATTTTAATGCATAACTGAAGAAGGGACCATTACGGTAGCTTTCTGGTGTCCAATCCATATAGTGTATTAGCCAAACATGATAAAATAGTGTGCATGCTACGTCCATTGATAACTACACATCCTATTGATTCTTCTTTTGTTAGAAGGGTTCTTCTTTCCCACTGGCCATGTTCTTAGCAAAACGTCATTCTCCTACAATTTGCAGCAAGTTAAGACGCTGACTCCCTCTTATAGTGCATTCACCAAGGCACCTTTTTCATCTCTACTTGTGACTGTCTCTTTTGCACCCAAATGCCATATACTTTTCATATATGCAAAATTATAGATGTGATTGAGTTTGCAAGTAAAAATATTGAATGGATATTGGTTTATGTTTAGTACTTCGGTAAATTCAGCCTTTAGTTCTGAATAAAAGTATTAAGCATATGAACCTTTAAATATTATTTTAGGAAGAAAAGGAATGATTTACTAGCTATAGTTTTTGGTTTAGTGGTAAGTGTTCCGTCCTAAGATTAGGAGGAACCTTATTATTATATCATTTGGCAATAAACATGGCCGAATGAGTAGAAGTGGAAATATTTAATTAATTCTATCATCAGATTCAAGAGCTTGACCAATTTGCATGCAAACTATCTCTTAATGATATGATTTCCTTAAAAATAAAAAAAAAATCCTGACTCATTAATTATTATTCACTGGGATTATTACACAAGACCCTTTCTTGATGTTCTCATAACCTTGAAACTGCACGATCAAATGCAATCGCACACATTAATCCAAGAGATTAAAAAACTTAAAAAACTCACTATGGTTTAAGTATTAACTGGAAAGCATGTGATGTGGTTCCATGTGAATAAGAGAAGGTTCCTTGAAAGTTACTTTTCATTCGTAATTTAAGAAAGGTGCGTGATGAGTCTGGTGGTTGATGCCTTCCCCATGTGGGAATAGTTCAAAAGCACTTATTAAGAAATAGAAAGGTCTCTTTAATTTTCTCTATAGCTAACAATGGATACCTCATTTTGATAGCTAAGCCTAGGAGTGATGAAGGTTGTTTCAACATTATACAGACTTTAAGGTTGATGATTATGAAGTTTTGGGTTGTGTTAGGTTGTCAAAGGAGGTGGGGTTTGTGCTTTCTTTTCTTTTTTCTTTATTGTTTTTTCATTAGTGCTTGCTTTGCTTTCATACTCGTCTCATAATATTGGCTCTCTTATTTTCAGTCTTTACTTTTCTTTCTTTGTTTTTTTCTCTCTCTTTTATCATTATACATATTGATAATGTGGTTGATGTCTGTTTTGACGTGTGAGTTCAAAGCTGTATCCATTTAATCATGAATGGTGTATTTTCCTACTTCACTTTACCAACATTTATCCATTATGTCCTTTCTTCACATATACGTGTACCAAACTAGTGCTGTTAATCCCATGTGTAATTTGCTAGTTCGCCGTATCTATGAACTATCAACCATATACTCCATTCTTCTATCTCGTATATAATACGCCTATACTCCTTAATATAAGGCCTAATTGGAAAAAAGGTTTTGATCCCAAGGTAATATCAATCTTCTACATTTATATTCCCCGAAACTACACTCTATTATTAGTCTTTCAACAAAGTGGTGGGTTCTTCCTTTATAACAATGGTTAAAGTCAAAGATCATCCTAAATAAAAATGTTTTTAAAAAAAACATATCATATTTGTTATAATTAATTAATCTAATTTTTTTAGTTTAATCAAATTAGTTAAATAAATCTTACATTAAGACTTTATTTGGTTCAATGAAAGGGAGGGGATGGGAGGTTAATTAAGGGGAGAGGAGTAGAGATTAGGGGAGGTTATGAGTGCTGTTTGGTTTGGGAGGAAAGGAGGGGAGAGAATATTTCATGTTTGGTTCAGAAGGGAAGGGAAGGGAAGGAGAACTAATTAAAAGTTAACAAATATGTCCTTATTTTTTTGGTTAGATTTCTTTATTATTTTACTATAATGTTTATATCATAATTATTATTTTCTAATTATTATCACATATTTATAAAATACATATTATACAAAATATTTTATTATCATTATCAAATATACATATCATAAAGAATATATAATTGTCATATTATATCAAGAAAAATAGTATAATCAAAAATATTATATCATTATTATCAAATATCATTACACAATTTCGTGGTATAGATATGAATTCTTTAAAAAGTATCAATTTATGTAAAAATAAAATATCTGCATCCATATCATCTAATTAGATAGTTTTGAAATTATTAAAGTCTTACCATTATCAAAAGATTGTAAGATATTGATTTCTTAAAATACATATGAATATCATGTGTTCCATTGAACTAAAAAATAAGTTGCATTGTTAACATAAAAAAGCTTAAGAAATAGAAGTAAAAAAGGGTTTTTTAATAAAAAAGATAAACTTAATATATGTAAAAAGTCATATGGATAATTTAATCAGCATGAAATACAATATTTTTCTCTCCTCCAAAAAAATCTCAAATTTGGAGTGGAGCAGAAGGAAAAGAGGAGAGGGGAGCACTAAAAAACAAAATTTTTTCCCTCCCCTCCTTTTTATTTTTTTGAACCAAACACAACTTCTCATTCCCTCTACTCCCCTCCCTTCCCCTCCTTTTAAAAACCTCAAAACCAAACAATGCGTAAGGATCGAAGAAGTACAAGAGAGTTAGCCCATACATGATCATTAATATAAAACTATTAATAAATCATGGGTGG